CCAGAATATAAACTCAACTTTGCCCTTCAATCAGATGGTGGCAGGAAAGAAGTGGCCGAGATGCAGGGCTGGATATTAAACCAAAGAGCATGAAAGGAGGAAATCCTGCTGCCCTCTGCTTCCTGTGACCTCTGTCACACACGCCACATCACACCACGGTCAACCTCGTCACCCTACACAACAGGAAGGACATGCAAACCCCCGTCATATCCCCCAGGTTTAAGTTTGGTCCAGCATTTTGGATATAAACACACAGAGGAAGATGGATCAGGAACTTCCATTCATCAGTAGAATAATAACCTCCCATAAGGACAAAATCCATCAAAATAAGGATACGAATAAAATTGTCACTGTCACTCACTGATACTAGATACCAGAACACATAGTACTCCTCAGTAAGTCTGTTAATACATTTACCTATACAGCAAGCTATGCTATTTGTCAGACAATAGCAGTAACAACAAGAATAATGCCACTAATAATGCAAGTTTTAAACTTCATAAGACTAAATCAGATGAAATTCACATGAGGGAATTTTACCTAAATTAGAAATTAGAGATCAACAGTTTTCTTAGGTAGTAAACATGTTTTTTTCTGCTCTAAATTTGGACTTTTAACTACAGACAGAATAGAAAATGGGTATTACTACCGTGACATCCCATATTGCTCTAAAGTCCAATTACAAAGCCTGGAGATGAGCGTTTCACCACTGTGACACATCATTTCTTCACGTATTGAAAGCAGGTGTGATAAGTAATGGATGGACTTCACTATACAACTGCATGACCAGTCAATCACTAATCACTAGCTAATTAGTGTAGATCCTTTTTATCACTTAGAATGACCAAAAAAAAAATCTAAAATATACATAATGTTTCTAACCGTGTCCATAAACACATCAGAAAAGTGTTTTATGAAGGTTAGAACAAGGGAACGTTTTCTCATTTAGGACCAGAAATCTTTTTCCAACCACAGGTTGGTTGGACCACAGGCTCCCTGCTGACCATTCAAAAGAATGTAGATCTAAGGCACTGCCGTGTTAGGCTCCCCTTTAACACCCCCAAGCTATTGTACTTTCTAAAAGTTTCTAAATGTTTCTCTTGTTTTCTTTATGTGCTTGAAACATGAAAAATGAGTTCAGTGATTTATTAAAACATGTAAGCATATGTGGAAACATGCAGTTCTTCAGGATTCTTTAAGGAGATGTAAATCTCTTCTATATGTTCTGGATTCTCCGTCAAGATGATCCCAAAATGCTCCTGTAATGTTAAGGTTCAAGTACTGGGGAGGCCAATCCATGACTGATAGTTTTCCACTGTGAGTTAAAGGCCGATGGTACTTTTCTATGTTCATATTTCCAACATTTTTGACAAGGTCCCCAACACCACTGGCTTAAATGCAACATCAAACAAGACCCACCTCTGTGTTTTACAAACGGCAGCGGAGTCTAATCCACCGTCCAGCTGGGGTCTTTTTGTGTGCAGTTTATATCTTCTCCTTGCTTCTGGGTTGGTTCTCCCGGGGTTCCTCCCACTGTCTCAAAACATGCAATGCTAGATGAAGCTAAATTGACCATAGAAATTAGAAAATGGTCATCTGTCTCTCTGTGTCAGCCCTGAGAGAGATGTTAACCTATCCAGGGTGTACCCCACCTCATGTCCTTTTATAGCAGGGACAGGTTCCAGTGCCCCCGTGACCCTGAAATGGATAGGTGGAAGAAAATGGATGGATGGATATTTGATGGCAGGGCTCGTGGTGGTTGCAGAAATATTTGGGTATGGACTAAAGGGTAGCGCAACTCCCATATATCAAAATATTACTCAGATTACTCACAGAAGGGAAGTGAAATCCCTGGAAATGGTGGGTGAAATGATGGATCCAGACATTTCAGGGTTTGCCGTGTAAAGTGATTCCACTTGATTGCACTGTGAAGGATTGGAGTTTTGAGGAGATGGAGACTGAGCAAGGTTAGGGATGTGAAGGGGGTTGCTTATTTATGTAATTACATACGGCGGGGTCAGGAGTTTTTAAGGGAGGAGGTGAATGCCTTCTAGGCATCGCCGTGGTGACTGGAGCATATAAAGTGGTCTGACTGCTCAATCAGGTCACGTGAAGTCAGTCAGGAGTACCACAGACGTTTCCCATGATGGTTGGCCTAATCTACCAGACGTGGTCCTCCCTGGGGGCATGCACCCTTTGCAGCACGAGACACAACTCCACACATGCTCACTTCAAGGCATCATGTTTTTTGTTTTCTTTGGGGGGGGGGTACTTTATGGCTTTTATTTTATTATTGAATAAAACAAGTAAATACATTCTGAGTCTGGGTGTTCAGTTGGCTCTTTACTGAAGCTATCTGGGACACACCGCGTTTCCTCTAATGACTCATAAACACATTAGCCTGACATTTATGTAGACTAGAGCGCACTGAGGGAGTTTGTGTGCCAGAGAGACAGACTCAAGAATCTAAATGCTTTTAATGCAACTACTCTGACTTTCAATGAGGATGCTCTGCTTGACGGGTCCAGTGATGACATAAATGGACAGTAAAACTATATTTGTCAAACCATATTCCCTAAGCTATCACCAACATTATGTATATGACCCATTTTCCAGTTGTAGTGCAGAAAATATTCAAATCAGAGCCTTTTTGTGCATGTATGTGTGTGTGTGTGTTTGTTTTGTGCATCAGTCTACCACATATGCAAAAACTTCATAGCATTGGAGCTGAATAACAAAGACTCTTTCTGGTTTGATCATTGGAGGGGCTTCACCCAGATTCCCCCTTACTAAACATTCCCTATTTCCTGTTTGCTATTTCTCAATCACCACCAGACAAAAATGTTCCAAAAAAAAAAAATCCAATCCAAAGAAAGTTTTTCACTTTCTTTTCTACTGCAAAAGCTGAAACTGGCACACATGTCCAGGAGTTAAGCTTTAAAACACATGGTTAGGTCATTAAAACACTTTGTGTCAGAGTGCAGAGAAAACAAACACTGTCTGGATGCATGTGCCCAAAAGTCCTGTCTACCCCACATCTCACTGCACTAAACTGGACTTTGCTGGATTGAAGGCCTTCAGCAGGTTGTGTAATCTGCTGGCCCTGCTGATGAGCAGAAAAGGACTCTTTTTTTGAGTTTCTCAATGTCCGCTCAGGACTTTTTAACCATTACTTTGTTGGAAGATGGAAAAGCACCATTAGAGTGAAAAAGAAGAGCAAAGACACAGAGCTGCAGAGTCACAACAATGATGATGTTTTGTATGCATTTGTGGTAATGATTATTAGTCAAACTGAGGCTCATTCCATATGAAACAGGAGGGAATTTGGGCCTTTAACCTCACGGCGACATGAAGCAGCATTAGGAAAATTGACTGTGTTATGGCTGGAAAATGGCACTTTGTTTAGGACAGATCACCGAGACGGAAACATTTGTCTAAAAGAGACACCTATGAATAAACAAATGAATGAATACATTAAAACATCTGTTCGTGCTTGACCACTGGAGCAATGCACACAGGAAGCGGGACCTCCTCCTTCTCTGTGGAGGCAGGAATGCTATAATTGAAACCACGTGTGTCGTAGAAACAGAGTCTGCCAATATATCTCTTTCTGTATTCTTCACCCCCCTGTTTCCTAACCTGATGGCTCTTCTTTCTTATGCTCTCATCCAAAAGTGAAAATGATCTGAACTGCTCAGAGAGAACAAAATGCTGTCTCTAAGTGTTTTGTGAGGCCACAGAGCTCACTGGATAGATAGATGAATCCCAATTTTGGGCACATTGGAAAGGTGGGCATTTCCGGCACACAGCAGCACTCTCCATGAGCTTTTCTATTATTGGTTGAGATTTTCTGTTTGTGTAATGATTGGATCAACACTTTTTACCACCCCTTTTTTGGAATTTTTAAAAAGTAGTTCCTTGGACATGGGCTGCTTTTTTACTCATTTTCATTTCACTGCCATTAGATGATTAAAAAATAGATCATGGAATAGTTTCAATCTTGGTCACAATTTAAAGTAAATGCAATTACATAAAATTAAGAAAATACATTAAAATATTAAGATTTTTTCCCAATGTGTAAATAGTATTTAAAAATACACTAAATATTTAAATTAAATGTAAATATTTTAAATATTTTGCTTCCAGCGAGACAGATTTTCTTCTGTTCTTGAGCGCTTCCTGAAGATCTTTTAGATGTAATTTTCAGTCCAGGAAGGGAAACAAGGGGAAAAGACTGAAGTATGTCTTATGGATTGATGACTTTTAGGTTCAAATCATTGTCAATGTGTACAGAGGAGGTCAGGGGAGAGGCGGAACAGTGAGTGTAAAACACAGTGAAGACTCTGTTATGGTTTGGGGCAGCATTTCACCTGGAGAGTGTCTAAACAGCCTAAGAGGTTTCAGGCAGTATTGGAAAATAAAGGTGGTCATACCAAACATGAACTTCCAAGCTCATTAGAACTATACAAACTGTTTGTCTGCTTGTATGTGTTTGCCTTGTATACTGTATTTCCATGTATGCTTACATACATGCTACAGCTATTTCCCATTTTCCTCTGTGCAGAATAATATTTACTACAAACCCAGGTTATAATCGTGGAATAAAAGTAACTTAAAACTGTAGTACCAGTAAATTTCCAGCAATAATTTTATGCCTAAAATGAAAACAACAAAAAACCCCGCGAATTCCCATTTTTTCCAGATGATCCGCATATTTTCCGCATAACTTAATTTAAAAAAAAGGGTCTGTCTATCTGGTAACCGGTGCGCTCTGTAGTCACGTGAGTGCTGCTGGGCGATGAATGCTGACTCGCAGCACAAGCTGTGCAGCGGAGCCGGGATGCGATTAACACCTTGGATCTTTCCGTCTGCGCTATTATACGAGAACTACTTCCGGTTGTGAGTTCCAAAAATAAAACTCACTCTTCCATTTACCCCGTGTCTCACCTGTGCTCGAGCATGATTCGTTTATTTTGAAGTCAAAATAACAGTACTTCCGGTGCTTGCATTCGCGAGCCGACCAACTTGACCCAGCCGTGTGAAAGGCTCTCCTGATACTACTGGAGTGAAGGCGTATTTGGAGGGATAGCGATAACACGCTCGGCCGGCGGTGTGGGCTAAAAGACGAGCAGCTGCCGCCGCCGCTGCATCACGGACACACCGCTCAGTGACCGGCGGACTGACGGAGGCCCGGGGGGATTCGGAGAGGCGTGAATGGCAACAACATTTCCTAAAAGAAAACCCTGCCCATGAGACAACCTGTATGCCAAATGCGTCCTAGAAAATAGGACGCGCGTTTGCCGTAAATTAGACGTGGGCTCGCACGGCGGAAGTTTCTGCGATCGATTTTTTGGGGGGAGATCTTCGTTTATTGGCTGCAGTCATGGACGAGGACAACCAAGGTATGATTCATTGAGTCGTTTCATTCCCGTGATTTGTTGCCATTTCCCTAATCAGAAGACATGCGCCTCTGCCTCCTCAGTTTGATGATGATAATAACAATAATAACAATACCAATGCTATAATAATAATACATTTGGACCTATTTGCCCTCAATTTCAGTAATCTAGGACTCTAAACAGAGTTGGTTTGACACCAAAGACATGCCACAAACAGTATTTTGTGACACTAACAAGAAGTTGGCTTCTAAATGTGCAGAAAGCCCCTCACTAATGTTGCTGCTTTCAAGAGCAGTTTAATGTCTACACTGAGGAGGGTGATGATCGACACTCAAACAGATTATAGGGCTCGAAGCGTAGATGAGAGTCAGCGCATCAGTGTCGGTATGAGATGCTGTGAGTATTGTGTTTTTCCTGTGCCTTTGTCAGCTGTGGGCTGGTGCCACTGTGGCCCAACAGGTCCTGTCATGGTCAGCCATGCATGGCCACCGAGTCGTTTATTGACTGAGGCTGTTGCAAGAATTTGTTGGCACGGATGCATCTCTCCAACAGGAGCCTGCTCATCGTTCAGCACACGGGTGGGTTTAGAAACTTTTGAATGGCAGGGCAGAGTTTGGCAGGGTTATTTGGGAGTTGGCACAGGGAGTTGAGTAGAAACGCGTTTACAGTATTGCAAGCTCTTTTCGTTCTTACTTTATTACTGTGCAATGAAACTATGTAAATAAATATTGCAACTAACTCTAAGTAGCCTGGAGCCATTAACAGAGTCATGTAAAGGCTCCTCCACCCTTCCTGCATATAAGATACACTTAAAGCAACACAAAGCAGCTACACACTGTAGTTTCTATCTTCCTGGTTGTTTAATTTAGGGTTCTGGTAACCTGGGGTTAATCCATGATACCTGTCACCGGCTGACTCAGGCAGAGAAGCCCAATCAGATTCCAGAGGGACCACCCCCTGTTAATCATACACTGTACAAAATAACACTTTAAATTGGCCAAGACACCTCCAGGTTAAAATGCTCACTCTTGTTGTTTCAGGTCGGTGGTATTCAGTCCCACTGGCTCACCGCTTACGGAACTGCAGGATGTGACTAATGGCTTGCGTACTGCATGCACGAATGCATGCACGCACGCATGCTTGGCACCTGGGTATAAAGCAGCCATTGTGCTGGGTTCAGGCAGCCGGGCCTCCAGCGTTGGGAGACGTCAGCATAGCCACACAGACAGACATATGGTGCTGTGACACCAAACAGAGGTAGCTGTCAGCAGCCTCACAAATTTAATGTCTCCTTTTCCCCTTATGGCACTTTTTGCTGTGAAGATAGATGGATAGATGGCTGGACACAGGGAGTAAAAACATCAACAGTTTGCTGCTTATTGTCTGAACAAATGAGTGCCTACACAGCTGTACACACAGGCCCAATGCAAGGCGACAGACTAAAGTAGAGAATGAGCAGCAGCAAGTTAGTCAACGAGGTCCACTGTGCGACTATCACTCCTCACAAAGTGACACACACGCAGAAACTTTGCCAGGCCACAAGTTAAGCAGGAGGGAAGACTGGAAAGTGGCGGGTGTAATGACCGAGAAATGCGCGAGGAGGGAAAGCACGTGTGACCACGAAGAGAGCGAGAAGCTGTCGTAGTAGCGGCGATGGTGAGATGTCTGAAAAGGAATGAGAGAGCAAGACAGGAGCAGTGTATGTGTGTTTGTGTGTGAGAAAGAGCGTGTGGACGGGCTGGATGAAGTGCCAGGACAAACTTGGAGAGTGGCCAGAGAAGTGTGGAACGTCGCCAGTGAAAGACGACGAGGGAGAGTGGCGGCGGACTGGATATTCTTTCTGAATCAATTCTCCGGCGTGTCAGTGGAGTTTCTCTCAGCAGAAAGTTCTTCTTTTCTGTCATTATTAACTCACTTAACAGTAGGTGGTCTCAGCCTCTCTGTGATTATCTATTAAACCAGGTCGCCCTCTTGATGGGGACTCACTTTTCATTTTTTTCCCCATCTTTTCTTCCCCTTATGTTGACATATTCTCTTTGCTCTGCTAAAACCTCTTAGCACATGCTTTTAGCCATGCTTGCATCCTTTCCAGATATTTTCTTACTTTTTCTGGGAGCCTATACAACATGATAAGGTTCTGAGTTTTTGTTTTGAGTGAAATGCTCAGCTATTTAATGCATTGTGGTGAGATTGTGTGCACTTTTTTATTTTTTTACTTTTTATTTTTAAAATTAGAGTATGTGGAGATTCGTCAGCATGCCCGCTTGGACATGCTGTAAAAGGCTTAGCGAGAACGGGTGTATCGTAATCCAGCTGACACACATGACATTCAGCAGTACAATGCCTACTGCCGCAGTACTCCCCTCAATGGACAATGGGCCAACAAGAGGGCCACAAAGCTCTGCTACAGTGAAGCCTGCCTGACCGCACTGACACACTGTAGCTCGCTGTCAAACATTCCCATTTTGCACGGCCGACTTTGTCAGGCTGTCAAATGTACACCTGCATCATCTCCGCTTCCCCTGCTTTCGCTCTGCAGGTTTTTGTTAGTCAATGAGCTGTTTTACCGCGCTTTCAATCAAGTGATGCCCATGTGGTAATAATCAGAGCATTAGAGATAGACTTTGGCTTTGCAGCGTACCTCATGATTTTGGCTGCAGATCCTCTCTATTTACACACTGTGAAACCAGCCATTTAAACTTGGCAAGGGAGTACGTGAGTGTGTGTTGCAGCGTGTGGTCTGTGGGGTTGCGGCACGCTGGCGCTCAACTGAGGCAACAACAGGCGCACACAGCGAGGTGGGTTTTAAGATCGTAGAGCCATTCATCTGGCTGCTGCAGGACGGCGCCCGCAGCTTCCTGCTGTGTTCAGGATTTGCGATTTGGATGGTGGGAGTAGTTTTGCAGCTGCTGTCTTCTTCCCTGCAGCCCACACACTGAGAAGTGGCCTTCAAAAAAACACAGGAACAAATTACGGCTTAATTGTGCCCACCTGTTATTAAGCTAAATCTTCCCTGTTTGTATTTTAACCCTTTTGGAAGGGGCTCGCCTGGTTCACCTGTGTGATGGGTGGCTATAGAGAAATGGCTCTGGGGAAATCGATAGGTCATGGCTTTTGATGTCAAGTCTGAGGAGGCTCCGGCAGGCAGGCTGGCAGTTAGCGTTTGTACGCTGCCTGTGTGATGGTGGAGAACCTGAGGGCCCTGCAGGACGTCAGGGAGCAGCAGTGGGGTGTGATGAAGAGGCTTGGATCTCTGCAATGTTTGATGGAGTTCTGCAGAAGACACGTGGGGCCCTTGCAGATTGGGTTTTTAGTCTGTTTTCCTCCGCGTACCATCAGCTCCGGCTCATTTAAAATATTCTTAATTTAAAACCCAAAGCTGCAAAGCTACATTTGTACTGTGGTTGAGTCCAGCAGTTAATTGAAGAAAAATCAATAATCGATTCATTCTTATTACTGTAAATTTAACACATACTAAGAATTGGCTGTTAACAATTTCTTAAGTATAAAGACTTTATGCCTTTTTTCAGGTTTTATCTTTGTGCACACAAAGAAAGTATATAGAGTGTAGTATTGATGAGTTCTGTCACCAGTAAGGATTTTCAGATACACCACCTCGGGCTGGCTCTGTGGAGTTGACGCCGTTGAGCTCTCACCAGGCCCCTCGTTTGTCATGTGCTTTATGACTCAGTCACACTAGAGTAAAAATAGTGTGACAACCTCATTCCAACTAGAAGAAATTGGTGGTTGCTTGGTGATTGTATCATTAAAAAAAGTTGCTGTTGTTGCCCAGAGGCTGAATATGCAACTCCTTTAATCTGTGGGTCACCACTTTTGATCACAAGATTATTACACAGGTCACGTGATGGGAGGCAACCAATCTCCAGACTGGTTGCAATCACTCTCAGACAGATTGGCAAAGGTTTGCAAGTAACTGCTCTCTAACCTATAAAAGCACAGATTGCCAATACATTGCAATTTATCTGAGTCAGTCTGTGACGTGCCTGTTTGCAATAGACTTGACTCAGCTCAATGGTTGTATTCCGATTATGTTTCTATATATACGCAAGTTTGCCCAAAATCTATATAATTTTGCAGTGGCTGTCTTGTATGTTGCCGTCTGCACGCTCAATTCAGGTAGCTCCTTCTAAACCACACAGAGCTTTTTCTAGTTGTGCGAAATATTTCTGCTTTGTGCTTCATGTGAAAAAGGACAACTTTGGTAAATATCCTGACCTGATTCCCCCTGAAATTGCCAGAAGTGGATGTGCAATAACCTGCTTCATTGTGGTGGATTTCTTTTTTTCCTCCCTTAAATGGAGCAAGCTCGCTCTTGTATATATTACGATTCAATTGGCCGTCTGTCACAAAACCAGTGATGCTTTTAAAAAGTTGGTCTTTCGGAGTGAATAAAGCTGGATTGTCAGGCGGTGAAGGCTCAACTAAGAACTGCCACAGCTAACCTCCAAGATGCTTAAAAATAAGACAAATGAGACTCAATCTCAATCTTCTTTTCTAACTCTTGGCAGTTATGTTTATATCCCAGCTACTTCTTTATATTTGATGTTCTCATGAATTTCTGAAGGCATGAAAGCGCAGTGGCATGTGCACTTTTGTTTTTTGTTTCTTGTGTGTTTTGGTATCATAAGCTCACATTTTCTGATATTGTTTCAGCATTTCTGCTCAGTCTCTTAGACTGTTTTGCTCCCACCAGTGTGACTCACCTCTGTTAAGGATTGTGTTTCTTCCTCTGTTGTGGCTGCCGAGTGCTCTCATTGCTGTCAATTTGTCAAACACTATTGGCCGTGCGCAAGCAGTCACACTTGCATTGGCTCAGTAACTTCCTTGAGAAATCAGTGGGGAGATGGACATCTGGGTTCTACACTATGCTGGCCATTACTGTATAGACTGAAGTGTGTATGTTTCATCTTTGAGAGGATGGTGAACACAGAGGTCTCTTGTCAACTTTGGCCTCCCAGAATATCAGATAGCACGTTATGTTT